TGCAGAACTGCAGTCAGCTGAAGTAGCCTGCAGTGCTGCATTTAACCACTGCGCCACCTCAGCTCTTGTTCCTTATAAACAAAATCAAGAGGACCACTGTCAATTCCCTTAACAGGAAGTCTAAGAAGTACATGTACAATCAGGGGTGGGCTGCTGGGGGTTCATAGAGGTTCGAGAGAACCTCTAGCTAAGATTCTGTGCAGTTCAGAGAACCCCCAAATCCCACTCCGGGCTGGCCCTGCCCACCCCACCCCCTCCCCTCTCCGGAGTCCCCACGCGGATGCCGGTAAGTGCAGGGTGCATGCAGAGGCTCAGGGAGGATGAAAAACAGGTGTACTGGAAGTTTGGGAAGGCCTCCGGAGCCTTGGGAGGATAACCCCCCCCTGTGGTGCAGGAGGCTGATTAGGCCACACCCACCATGGCCATGCCCACCCAGCAACCGGGCAGAGAACCCCTTGCTAAAAATTTTGAAACTCACCCCTGTGCAAGAGAGATCCTCTACATTTCCTGCATGGATAGATTCTCACGTACAAATGGAGCCATTTGGGTAATGGAGCCAATTATCTGTTGCAGATCCAGAGATCTATGGCAAGAAATCTATGGATTTGTTTCCAACAAATCACCTAACTTGGCATCAAAGCCAAAGAGATGAGCTGAAGGTTGAGTGATTGCATCACCATTTTATTATATCTGGATTTTTTTTAAAAAAAAAACCCAGCCATTAGCAGTTGTGGAGGAGGGTGTCATATGGTAGTAGATGCCCATCTCTAGATCTGTAGTCTACTTGTGTTGAATCATCCCTCCCTCTCCTTACAGCCTTTTAAGTAGACGTTGTAAGAAACCACCTGAACAATCAGTTTCATTCAAGGGATCTGATGCGTCAGTCAAAAGTGAAAAAGGCAGCACCACATGCCACTTGCAAAGCAAGCTCCGCCCCTTTTGTATGCTCAAGCCACATCACCACACACATATGGAAGTGGTGGAGCTGCATTTGTTATTTGCTCTCTGTCCATGGGTGAGCTGCTACAAGTTCGCCTGCGTTCAGGAGAATCATAGCTAATATTACAGCCAGTTCAGACAACCTCCAAATCCTACCCCGCCTGGTCCCGCTCACCCCCCCTCCCCTCCCAGGAGTCTCCATGCGGTCCATTTTGGATGTGAGGTAAATGCAGGGCCCGCGCGGAGGCTCGGGGATGGGGGGGGAGTTCTAGAAGGCCAGAAACAAGCCCATTCCCAGCCTCCAGAGGACATTTGGAGCCAGAGGGAGGCAGTTTTCACCCTCCCAAAGGTTCAAGGAAAGCCTCCGGAGCCTGGGGAAGGTGAAAACGCCCCTCCCCCACCAAGGTGACTAGGCCACACCCACTATGGCCACACCCACCCAGCAACCGTGCAGAAAATCTGAAATTTTTGAAGCCCTCCCCTGTACTCCATCCCTACCCCACCCCATGGAGGTAGTTCTCAGCTTACAGTGGCAATAGGGACAGGATTTGGCCATCACCAAGCAGAGCAATCATAATGAGTGACACGTGACATCACATAGCAATCCTAGCAACTTAGCTGCTGCCATTAAGGAAGGCAGGCACCTGTTTGCAACTTCCTGCCAGCTTCCTGAATTGACTTCCTGTGGAGGGGGGAGAAGGGGTTCTTGACAGCTGACATGCAACAGGGCTTTCTCACTGGCCTCCTCAGCTCTCCTAGAATAGACTGCTGGAACAACAATGAGCTCAAGTTGTTTCCAACTGGTTTGTGAGAGATTGGACCCTTGGAAAGAGCCAGTGATGCAGAAGTGCTTCAATTTGATCTGAAGGACCAGTTTACTCACCCGTGTAATTACAGCATCGGACTTTTTCCAAGATCCCATGATGTGTGGATCAGGGTCATGTACAGATTCTGTTGTGTTACGGAGGTAGGAAGGGACCATCCCTAGGGTGAAGGAACAGTGCGTATGCAAGCTCTCACAGGTGGCATGAGACCTGAGTGTCTTCTCTTTTCTTCTTACCCACCCAGCCAATGTCCTAGAGACCTTGCGTTTTTGTGGCCTCATGCATCATCTCACCCCTCAGCAGATTTTTGTCACCGTTCATGACGCAGTTTCCTACCTCCAGCAAGCCACGGTAAGGTCAGCAGAGAAAACAAGGAAGCCCCCCTCTCTCCTCTTGGTTTCTGTTCAGGCTGTTGTGGGGGGCGGGGGGCATGGGGGAGGAAAGGGAGCATGGCTGGGCCCCTGTAGCCCAGCTCTCAAAACAACACATCACTGTCATTCAGTGTCCCACTCATGAGATAAATCTGTAAATAGAAGCAATTTAGCCTGAGGCTCGTTTTCTATATTTGGAGTCTTGTGTTTAACGGGAAGAGTTTTACTTGGAGCAATCCCCACCCCACAGTTTTGGTGAACTAGCCATACTTGCTCCTTCAGAGGCTATTTAGAAGTACAGGTAGTCCTCACGTTACGACCATAATGGAGCCCAACATTTAAGTTGATTAAGTTGCTGAGGCAGTGGTTCCCAAACTTGGCCACTTGAAGACTTGTGGACTTCAACTCCCAGAATTCTCCAGCCAGCAGAGCTGGCTGGAGAATTCTGGGAGTTGAAGTCCACAAGTCTTAAAGTTGCCAAGTTTGGGAACCACTGTGCTAAGGGAAACCTTGGTTAAGTGAGTTTTTCCCTGTTTTACCATTTTTCTTGCCACAGTTGTTAAGTGAATCATTGCATTTGTTAAGTTAGTAACATGGGTCATTAAGTCAATCCGGATTTCCCCATGGACTTGGTTTATCAGAAGGTTGCAAAAAGGGGATGTCACGACCCCGGGACACTGCCACTGTCATAAATATGAACCAGTTGCCAAACCTCTGGATTTGGATCACGTGACCATGGGTGTGCTACACTGGTGTACAATGGGTGTAAGTGTGAAAAACAGTCATAAACAGTGGTGAAATCAATTCCCCCCCCCACACACACACTGGTTCTGTGGTTGTGGCTTGGTGAGGGATGTTATGTGACTGAGTGGGTGTGGCCAACTATTTTTTCACTTTTTAAAGCATTTCTTTCCTGGCAGTTCAGGCAAATAAGCAGGAAAATAAAAGGAAGGGGGAAAACTTTCAAGGATCATGTGGCTCAGCTGCAAGCTTTTTTCTCTGTTTTTTAAAGCATTTTTTTCCTGCCTATTTACCTGAACCGGCAGGAAAAAAATGCTTTAAAAAGTGGAAAGGAAGCTTCCAAAAATCGCGCGGCTCACTCCTGGTCATGTCACTTTTTTAAAGTAAATTTGAATGGTCACTAAATGAACTGTTGTAAGTCGAGGACACAATTATTTCCAGGGGTAGAAAGTTCAGATCACCATCAGAATCCAACTGCTACCCTTAGCAGGGATTGCATCCACTGGGGGAATCTCTGCACTTCCCCGAGTAGGCTTTTGAAGCACAGAATTCCTCTATGGAGATGCTCAGTCATCCAGGTCATGATTGTCCCAAAGGTGCTTTCCCAAAGGTGCTTTTCTCAAGAGGCCAGTTGCCTCTAGGGAAAAAAAAAGCACTGTTGAGGGAGAGCGCTTAACAAGTAATATGACCTGGGAAGCAATGAGGAGATTCAAAAAACTTTATTATCAGTTCTGTGGGCGTTACTTGGTGGGCGAGGCAGGGAAACGATACTGCAAAATCCCCATTCCCTCCCCACTCCTGGGGGAAGAATACTGTAAAATCTCCCTTCCCTCCCCACTCCTGGGGGAAGGATACTGTAAAATTTCTACTCCCTCCCCACTCCTGGGGGAAGGATATTGTAAAATCCCCATTCCCTCCCCACTCCAGGGGAAGGATACTGCAAAATCCCCATTCCCTCCCCACTCCTGGGAGAAGGATACTGTAAAATTTCTACTCCCTCCCCACTCCTGGGGGAAGGATATTGTAAAATCCCCATTCCCTCCCCACTCCAGGGGAAGGATACTGCAAAATCCCCATTCCCTCCCCACTCCAGGGGAAGGATACTGCAAAATCCCCATTCCCTCCCCACTCCTGGGGAAGGATACTGCAAAATCCCCATTCCCTCCC